TTACCCTAATGCGGTATCGTAGAAATATAGTTGTAAAATCCAAATGTTTGTCACTGGAGGCAAAAATGGCTTGTTCAAAAATGTTTGAATCCTCAGGGAATTGCAGAATTCAAAAGAACAGAATAACAGGCGAAATAGAGTTGGTTTTTAAAATGTAGAAGTAACAGGAATATAATGTAAGTAAAAGATCTATGCAACATTTTTACAGTTTTTTTTAAATCTACTTTCGTTTTGAACAAATATTGTTCATTGTTTGTATATTTTTACACTTTGACCTCATTTAAATGTGCAACGTCTGTCTTTCAATTAAAATGAAAAAAAAGCAAGGCCTAATTTCCCATTATCATTGCTAGTAAAGAAAGTTCGCTGGAGCAAGTCATTTTTTTATTGAATATGTTGTGTTAATATATAAACATAAATGTATTCAATGAAATAAGGAATACATAAGCAATAGTTGAGTTACAATGAGTTGATAACTCACCAAAGATTTGAGTCACCGGATCCCACAGGCCGTATAAACGTCTGGTCACTGTAAGGTCCTGGAGGTAACTAGTGAAATCTGTTTACATGTTATTGATATACATTAAAAGGATCCCGATCCCGATCATAAATATAACGGTCATCACTACATTCCTCCCCCTCATACTTAAAAGGCTTTGTATATAAAATAATATAAAATAATAAAGATATATGTGTCTTTTAAAATATAAAAAACATATAAAGCTTATGTACATTTTAAAAAGAATAAAAGCTTTGTTTCATTTATTACACACGGACAATGAAATTGGCAACAATCAGACAATCCGACTATTTATCAGCACTGTCAATGCGCAATGAATAATTATAAAATTTTAAAGATGTTATCAAACTTTAAAAGATAATTTGATGAACTTTAAAACCTTTTCAATAAAATATTGTATAATCTTGTTAATATTGGACCTTTTTTCCCCTTTTCTTTATTTTAAAACTCTCTAGGGATTAAATGAAGCCTACATACATATGATTATTAATTCTGAAAATGTTATTTTTTAAATTTAAAAATTTGCCTAATTTAGACAAAGAATAGAACACTTGCAAATTAATCCATAGGACTTCTCATCTTTACAAAATCTCTTCTTCTTTTTTTTTTATTTGAACAGAATAAAAGACTGAATAAATTACTAGTCACTATGTGCAAAATGTAGAATTAAACATATTTACATATATTTTTTTTTTAGAATAAGTTCTGCGCGCTGTAGGTAAAATATATTTAGAATGGATCTGTTTTCCAAACTATAACATCCTAAAAGACGTATATTACAATAAAATAAAGAATATTTACAAAATTAATTCTCGTGTCCAGAATCAATCTATATCTGACTTTTTCTAAGAATTATCTGAGAAACTGGCAAACAAATAATGTCAGAGTATCCGACTCTACTATCTGCCAATCTCCAGATAATCCTCAACTACCACATAAAACTAAATTTTATTTCATTAAAAAATTTTGAAAGAAATTGGAAATGTACAAGTATATATATACATTGTTGATCATTTTATGGTCTCGACCATTTTGAATCTTGTGTTTGGTTGAGGTCTTGGTGTGTTTGTATGAGCTGAGGAATGACCTATTTCATCAGCTCTTGAAAGTTTAAATTGACAGCTTTTTGTGTTGGTGAAGGTGATCTTGATTTCGACTTCCAACAATGTCTAGCAAAATGACCTATCTTACCACACACATAACACTCACTCTGACTCTCTGATCTTACAGGACTATTAGATGGGGATCTTTTTGGTGATGCATATATTGTTCCGGATGCATTAAACGTTCTTTGTGGCGATGAACACCTTGATGTTAATGATCTTCTTCAATTTGTTACCATCGAAGTCGAGGAAGTTGGTAAGCTACATGTGCATGATTCTACTAACAAAGGAAACACCATAGCACTCTACTTTTATTTTTCATCAGAGAATTTTTGAAACCCCCGATAAATCTCTTCATGAAAACTTTTTATCTCCATATCAGATATTGTGACTCAAAGTTGACATATGTATCTATGGTATCCCAGGTGGATAAATTTTAAACTGGTCTTGAATCCAAATATCACTGAAATGCTTCAAAATCAATTTGTTTGACAAACCCTTCTTTTGTAGAGAACATTTTTAAAAATGTATTTATCTCATAGTTGTAGTACACAGTGGTGAAGGGGGGGGGGGAGGGGGCAGTGGGACTAAGCACCCCTCTTTTTTTTCCAAAGATGGACATTGGGCATCGCTGTGTAGGTTTAGCCCCCCCCCCTTTCCACAGACACATTGTATTTAAGCTTAAAATAATGTGGAAAGTGGTGTTGTTCGGAAAAAAATTCGCTAGTTAAGTTCGAACTTACCTTTTTTTGAAAGTATATAAAAAAATTCTTACACTTACCCCCCCCCCCCCCAACTTTCAATTTGCTTCTGACGCCAATGGATCTTTTTACACGCCTTTTGTAGAGAATGTTTTCCGAATATAGTTTTTTTTCTATAACCCCATGGTCAACAATTGAAAGAAATCCTTATAAATAGTGAGTTTTAAAATATCAATATAATAAAGTATTGCCCTGAGCACTTAAAAAAAAGATCCTGTTTATAACCACAAATTAAACGATAAACCCTGTCTTAAGTTCCAGTCGTATATCTTCCCAATATTTAAATATTCACTCCTGAGCCTAATTGAAAATAAAACAATTATTGATATATCTAAGCTCTATCAGCTTTTAGAAAAAAAATCTTTCAATAAAAGATGTTCTCATATATCTCCATGCAAAGAAAGACAAATATTAAATTTTACCTTCATTATCTCCGGGTGAAAAAAAATGTAAAACGGTGACAGATAGATACATGTACAAGTAACAGAAAAACCTTATTTGAATATTTTGTTCAGTTCCCAAAAATGCGGTACAGATTTAGACTTGAATCTAATTTTAATCACCTGTAAAATGTTGATTGATTATTTAGCGAAGCACTAATTCTGCCTTTAACACCTTTGTAAAGAATAAAGCTATAATTTAATTTTTTAAAACACTTTCATCATTCGAATGCAAACTTTGATCTTGTGTAATATTATTTCATTTCAAAAGAATGGCACAGATAAATTTCTAAGACTTTGGTTTCACTGTGGACTCCTGTCCTGGTAACAAGACAGAGTACACAGCCTCGGCCACCAGACTGGGGTGTGGTGTGGATGAGAATGGTCGGAGTCAGTACGTCTGTGTTCCCAATCACCAGAGGTCAGGCCTGGTGGAGTTCTGTTATAAGTCAACAGCACTGTAAAAAAAATAATTAGTTAAAGTCACGAAGAAAAATAGTAAATTTACTGTCCATACAATTACTACCTTAAAAGTAGTTTTACCAGATATTTGTATTTTTACTAGATAAGATTAGTAAATTTAGAATTGATATAAGTAACAACTCCCTATCTTAACCAGTAAAATCAAAGTTTACAAATCAGGACCAACGCTTTACGAGGTACACTAGTTAAATTCACTAGGTTTTTCTTTAAGTGAGTTCCATTTTATCAAAAAGGTACATATTTTCTTGCGCATAAATTACTTCAAAATTGTAATAATCTAAATTTGCACTCTAGTCACTGTGATTTTTCTGCATACAGGAAATTGCATAGAGGTTTACGAAAGTGGAAATTTGGATTAAACCAGCTGTCTCCATTTCACAGATGGATGTCCAGATAACCATTTCTTTTTCTCTGATCTGTACAAATGTGAGTTTAAACTTGACCAATATAAATAATGTAAGCAAGATTAAGAAATCATTCGCATTTATATGCAACAACAACGAGGTATTCACCTAAAGCTAAATGTACAAAGTAATTTCTGTGAATGCAGATAATGATATTTCTTAGTATATCTAGGAAATTACAGTATAATTAATATAGAATTTTTGTGTTTTTTTTCCATTTTTTATGTAAATTGAGTACAAATTCAATATCTATTGATTTTCTATGTGTTATTCATATATCAAGTGCAATGTTGTATTTGAAATTACTTAGCATTTATTACTGAGAGATTGTAAAGATATTCCGTAAATGTTATTTACAAATTGTGTATTTGGACCAGGCGATTGAGCAATAAAGTTAAGCACTATCAATAGATCAAATAATTCGTGTAAGTGGTCAGTGTTCTCTAGAAGTAACAATGTTGATTTTGGTCAAAGTTAATGACTTTGAACGCATCCTAAATTGATTTTATGAAATACGGAATTCTAAATTTGGCAAAAGTAAAACTTCAATTAGTATTAAGGGGGGACCTATGTCCGAAAAGTCTTTGTGTGAAATTTTCGAAACTTTGACATTTCTTTCCTGACCGCTTTATCTTAATTTTTAGGTTTTAAAAACAATACCTTTATATGCTTATTTTTACACAGGAGCACGTGCAAAAACAGTGTGAAATGCTAAAAATAGATTATTTTCAGTCATTATTGTTCTACTCCAAATATGCGCTAAAAAAAACCAAAAATGTCAAATCACATTCGAAATCAACATGTATTTAATTTATCTGACTTGTATCTTTAAAATGAAGGCAAATTCATTGTAATTCATCTCGCATGAAAAATTATAAAGGAGCACAATGTAAGTATCACCACATTTTTCTTGTCGTATTTTTTACAAATCTGACATACATAACAGGTAACATCTTAAAAAGTCTTTGTGTGAAAATGTTGTAATTTATATTTTTTGAAAGAACTGACCTCTCTCGTTAATTTAACAAGGAAAAAAGTATACATTTATGGTAAAATAAACGAGAAATATGACGTTTTCTTTTATTTTCGTACTCTTCAGTCATAAATATTGACCTTTCTGCACTAAAAAAAAAGATAAGTTAGCGCTGACAAACATCTGAATATAAAGCTATTTTGCAAAAAATGAGTATTTTGTTTTGATAAGAAATAATTTAAACAGATAAACTCTTTTCTTCTTCATTCTAATCATTCTGCCCCCCCCCCTCCCCAGTCAACAACCAACACCTAATAGAACCTAGGAATGATTTTATACAATAAAATCTACATGCACTATAAATCAATAAGTAAATATAGGTACAAGTAATATTTCTTATTTTTTTTCTTAGTTTTATCCAGAAAATACAATTAATGGTAATCATAAAATTAAACATATTTCCCTAATTTAAGCCGCTGTCTCTGCTGAATTTTATCTTAATATATTTTCTGCATTTCTATATCAGCATATCATAGAGATATTTCTTCACAACTGAAATTGCTATGAATTATCAACCAAAGGAAGAGAATTATGATATGAACAAACTCCATAAATCAAATAAAACTGTTTTAATTGATGAAAAAAAATTCTTTTTGTAAACTGTGTACGTTTTTGATTAATAACAATGTGATGCCTATGATCACAGTTGCAAAAGTCAGCGGGAAAAAAACAAACGTCGCTATTGTGACGTCACATAACGCTGCTTTGACGTCGAACGACATAGGTCCCCCCCTTAAGGAACACTGATCACATGCTGACCACATGCGGTCAGGTCACATGGGTACCGAAAAAGTTAACAAGTTGCAGAATTGTCATGGAAACCGGTTCTGGGAAATATATTGGCCGTGCGCGCCCTGACAACCTCAGTTGCGGTTTCTCCAAAATAAATCTATAATAGCTTACAACTTGTTTTCTTTTAAGGTACATACATGTAAATTCAATCATCCTTATGTTTATAATATTCTTTTATATACTTTGAAAGTTAACGCAACTGAAATGTAATATGTTGATAAAAATGAAATGTTATTAATAATTAGTTTCTTTTTCAGAGTGTTTTGTAAAATTAATAATTTTATTGATATGAGTTGCGGTTTCTCCAAAATAAATCTATAATAGCTTACAACTTGTTTTCTTTTAAGACCGATATCATCAGAGGTTGAAAACAAGTGTTGCCATCCCTCACAAGCCAAGCGGAAATCAGGCTCAAACAAAAATGTATAAAAAAACAACTACAATAATTTGGTGGAGAATCTTTATTGTCCCGGACCATGGATCTCAGAAGTGGGCGTCAGACGAATTTTCAAGGAATGCTCCCATCGGGATCAACCACCCCAACAGCACCGCCTTCTGTTAGACTACAAGGATTGATGAGGGCAACTAGGCTCCTCCAGGATACGCCGATTGTTAGAGGTGCAGTTTTGTCCTCCTCTGTTCCTCCTTCTTATTCGTCTTCTTCTTCACTAATATCTTCAGCGGGCTCCGCACCGCTTACATATGTATCTTCATCCTCTCGTCCTCCTCCTCAATCATTTACTTCATCATCATCACAACCGACTTCATCAGTTGGTCAGACTGTGACGTCACCAATGCCAAATCATACGCCGCCCAACGTAATTAAGCTTACGCCGTATAAACAAGGCGAGCCAGCGAGTCAGTGGTGGGCTCTGTACATGTCTCTAATTGCTTATTTTGGCATGACAGAGTCAGCTGCTCTCTCGGCTTTTCCCTTTTATTTAGAGGGTGTGCCGAAACAGTGGTATTTTCAGCTACCAGAGAGTATGAAATGCTCTCTGAGTAGTTTGAAAGCTGCCTTTCTTGAACGTTTTCAAACGTCAAAAACGAATTTTGATATCCACATATCAAATATAAAACAAAATTTAGAAGAATCAATTGAAGACTATTTAGCTCGAGTGACGCGTTTAACGACTGAATGTGACATACCCATGCATTTACTAGTGGGAATGGCTATTCAGGGGTTGAAACCAGCTATTCGAACAATAGTCATGCCGCAAAGCCCGGACACACTAGAAAAACTCCGAAAAATTGCATTGGTGGCGGAGCAAACTGTCAAATATTCGGAACCCGCAAATGTGTCATTTGCGACTTCCATTCAAGAGTTAGAAGACAGGTTGATCACAAAATTAAGTACACAGTTAGAAGCAACAGCAGCAGCCATTACGCAACCTAGGCGTTATCCAAATTCATTTCAAACAGATCAAAATTTTGATAATAGATTCAATGGACAAAAAAGATATTTCAAAAATTCGGGGCAAAATTACAATACTTTTCAAAGTTATGCAAACAATCTGAAAAATCAAAAATGCCAAGGTTGTGGAGGTAACTGTATGTCACGACAGCAATGCCGCGCAAATGAGAAACAATGTTTAAAGTGCAAAAAGTGGAATCATTTTGGGAGTGTGTGTAGATCCGCAATGCGCGCTAACATCCCACAATAGGGGTGCGCGCCTATCCCTGGATTTTCCAAGGATGGGCACAAAGATAAGAAAGCTGTAACCTTGGGTTTAACGGTGGCTTTACAATCCCGGAGTACAATTGACATTGGGATTGGGCTCCGTAAAACCAAGTCATTGGTAGACACGGGGTCTCAAATCACTCTCATCAGCCATTCTTTCTTTAAATCAACAGAATTTAAAGACCATAAACTTTTAAAGCCAGACTATGATGTCCTTAAAGGAGTTAGCAATAATACTCTTCCAATTCTTGGCAAAATCATTCTTCCCTTTGAAATTGACCACAAAATTTTTTGGAACCCAGTTCATGTGGTGAAAGGCTTGAATCAAACAGTTATCATTGGTGTCGATTTTATGGAAATGCATAATGTGTCTCTGCATTTAAAATCTAAAACAATTGAAATTGCTGACTCAAACAATTCTATTCCAATAGAAATAAAACGTCATTTTGCAAGAACTGCTCAAAAAATTGTTGTTCCCCCATGCATGAAATGATAATCCCAGTCAAAATTTCTAAATTACAACAGCATCAAAATGTGTATTTAGAACCCTGTGAAAATATTGCCACTAAAGAGTTACTTGCTGCAAAAACGATAGCGTGTGTTCGAAATCAACGCGGTATGTTTAAAGTTTGCAATCCTACGGCGGACGAAATAATACTCAGTAATAATACAATTGTTGCCACAGTAGACTGTGTCCACAATGATGAGATAATACCATTTAAATCCCCGCAAAGTACTCAAATAAATGCAACAAGACTAGTGTCGAGTCAAAACCGCACAGTAAACAAAGATCTCCAATCACCTTTGATTTGACTAATTCTGAATTAAATGATACTCAAAAATCGGAATTGCACATGTTTTTAAAGAACTACAGAGATGTTTTTGCTAATGATTTATCTGAATTGGGAAAAACTGTTGGGAGATGCTCTCACAAAAATTCTATATTAATTAAGATGGCAGCTTTAGTTATTATTGACAGCTTCATTCTTTGCAACATGACGAGGAGACTCTAAACGAGAAAGTTAATGGTCATGTCTTCAATGCAAAATATGTACAATAGTCAGTTCACTTGGATAATTTAGATAGTGTTTGAACAAATTCTTTAGAAAAAAGGATATCTCCGTGGACGACGGTTGAATTTTGCCAAAATGGCCGATCAAAGTTTTACATGGGAATATATAGGAAAAATCTTTAAAAATCTTCTCAAGAACCATTAAGACAGGAAAGATAAAATTCATGTGAAATCATTCTCAGGTAATGTAGATACAAATTTGTTCAAATCATGACCCCCGGGGCCCGGATGGGGCAATAATGGCCGTTAAAAGATTTACATAAGAAAATATAAGAAAAATCTTTAAAAATCTTCTTCTCAAGAACCACTGGGCCAGGAAAGATGAAACTAATGTAGAATCATCTCGGGTAGTGTAGATTCAAGTTTGTTCAAATCATGACCCCCGGGGAATGTAGGGGCCAAAATGGTCGATCAAAATTTTTCCTAAGAATATATAGGGAAATCTTTTAAAATCTCCTTCTCAAGTACTTCAAAGCCATGATTAGTGATCTTTATATGAAATCATCCTCAGGTAGTGTAGATTCTAGTTTGTTCAAATCATAACCCCTTGGGGGTTAAGATTTAATCCCCCTCCAAACTCGGTAAACTTTCATTTCTGATCTGATATTTGCTTTTTCCTAACCATTTTGCTCAGGTGAGCGCTGTGGCTCCTTAGCCCCTTGTTTCATATTTTTGACCGATCATTACCGTTACATTTTTGGGCCAAAAAAACCTCATTACTGCTACATAATAATATTGAAAATTAGCCAGGTATGGTAAGAAATATGAGTTCCATCAACAGAATTCACTCAATGTGTAGTAAAGTACAATATTTTTTATCATTTTGAATTCTAAACAGAAGAATGTGAAGACTGTGAGTTTTATTTATAGACAGGTAGATCTTGATTTAATTAAAAAAAATTAAAAGTGTTTTATGAAATAAAATAAATTTCAAATAAAAAAATTAAAATAAAAAAAAACATAATACAGCTCAAATACATACCTATTTTCACCTCCCCGTGGTGGTGAGCAGGAAACAGGACTTATTCTTTTTTATGTTGTACTTTAAATCAATCTGTACATACATACAGATAAGTAGATGTGACTAACGAAAGAGGCACTGTAGCGGTAATGTATACTTTTATATGTAGCAGTAATGTAACGTTTCTTGTAGCAGTAATCACTGTGTAGCGGTAATGTAACTTTAAAAAATGTAGGGTATAATCATATGCACCCTTTCAGATAACCAAAATAGGTGGTATGAAGCTATGGGTAATACATATTTATGAGTACATGCATCTCTAATTTTATTATTTATATGTACCGGGGGGTATGTCTAAAATTTTAAATTTAATATCTTCCATGTAATCTATTAAATTCAAATTGCCCATTTAGTTGTTAAAGGTATATCTTATATTTTTGTGATTCAATACACAATTCATAATCATTATGATTTTTACTCTTAAAATATTTATTACATACAGTTATATTGTCAATAATATGCAATTTATCCAAATTTATGCTACTTTAGGATATTCTCATTATTTTTTCAGCAGTGCATTAAAAGAAAAAATAGTGGCCAATATACAACACAAGTCCGAGACCTTGTGTTTCTTATAATGCTATTACCTATAATACAAAAGTTTAATCCAACTCTGTAAAAGATACATGTCTTACAACACACTTTGAAAAATTACGCACTTTGAAAATTTTTTTCAAGGTGCCTTAAAATCTTTGGGACCAAATTAACGCACTTTGAAAAAATAAAATTTCTTTTCAAAGTGCGTTAATATCGACCATATTAACGCACTTCGAAAAAACGTGTATGGCTTGGTCAATATTTTTGCAAATGTTGGGTATGATAAATAATTTAGCCTGTTTGATAACTCTTCCATGGTGAGGTCACTCCAGGATGTGAAAGTGAGATTTAGATTTTTCTATGCTTTGAGAATTCTTTTCTCTCTTCAATGTTAAACTGTCATTAATTTTTTTCCAGTTTGCATGCATTTTATGTAAACTATAAACAGGTCCAGTCCAAAGACTATTTCTACCTACGTAGGTATTAAAAGCTACGTAGGTATTTAAAGCTACCCAAAGTAGCTATTTTTACCTACTTTCTGCTATACTTGCATTTTGTAGCCAAATGCAGGAACGGCGCAACATGGTGAGCACACAATTTCTTGATACAGTCACACTGATGATGAATATGACAAAAATTTGGCCAAAAAATGAAAACTTCGTATAATTTCAATTTTGCATAGAAACTACCGTATATACTCGCCTATAAGTCGGTTTTTTGGGAGTCAATCTCTGGTCCAAAACTCTGTGTCCGACTTATAGGCGAGCTAGAAAAACAATGGTATCATTTGAGGTCAGCCCTTCTGAAATATCTTCTTATTAAATACAACCGACTTATAGGCGGACCGACTTATAGGCGAGTATATACGGTAATGTAAAATTGCTGATTCAGGAAGTAATCATTTTTTGGCAAAATTTTTGTCGTATTCATCATTAGTGTGACCATATCAAAAAATATGGTATTTACCATGTTGCGCCGTTTTGTCTTTTGGTCGCAAAATGCAGAAATTATATAAAGTAGGTAAAAATAGCTACTTCTGGTAGCTTTAAATACCTAGGTAGCTATTAATAGCTACGTAGGTAGAAATAGTCTTTGGACTGGACCTGATAAAATTTATTGAAAGTTTAAAACATCATACAATAATGCAAATACATATATATGTGGGTGTAACATAGGCGTCGGTACTGGAAAGTGGGGTGGCTAAGGCACACAAATGCTTTGCAAAGACATACATATCATAGGCATTGAAAATTGTCCTTACCTAGGGGGGGTCTACTTTCAATTTGCTACCGACAGCTTTATACAACGTATAAGAAAAAAAAGAGTTTAGCTGAGAGACTTTCTACTTCTCCTTGTTTTAAATAAGGTTAAATGAGTACATGTAAATTCAAAAAAATTTCAAAGTGCGTTGATTTTGTCCCAATTTTAACGCACTTTGAAAATTTTTTCCAAAGTGTGTATTTTTCTCAAAGTGTGTTGCCACATACATGGAATGGCCAACTTGATACTAATATATGTAACAAGATAAAGAGATTATAACTGAATCCCTAAAACCTTTAATTAAGGAATGAATTGCATGATCATGGATTATAACTAATAGTCTGCATGGATATTGAATCAGCAACCACCCCATAAAATTATTTCATTTATCATATATGATTATCAATATTGGTCATTATTACAAGTGATTAATCTTATGAAGGTTAATTGATTTGAACATATTTTATTCTGTAAAAAAACAAAAATGGAATGAGCAGCATTCCTTAACCATATAATTAAGCCGTCTACACTCTGAATGACAAAAGGAGATAATTTCCTTTATTTGGTGCAACGTACTATAATGGTACAGTTTTAAAAACGTTAATAATATAATACCTCATCTCCAGAGTCCTTTATCCTTTGAACTTAAATTTTTACATATTTTATAGTTGACTAAATGCATTTTAAAAGCCTGCCAATATTTTGACACCTTGGTGCCCTGGAGTAAGGAAAAATATTTCAAAAATTGCATTAATGTTGATGGTTTTGGCCCCACACCTCAGGCCCTGTGGGTAAGAGATTTGAAATCTGAAAATTTTGCTTCCCTTTACTTGTAGATGCTTTGTGCCAAAATTGGTTGAAATTGGATAATTAAGCTGTTCAAGAAAAGAAGCTGAAATGGTTCAAAAGATTAGGGAGCAGACAGACAGGAAGCACAACGTCGGACAATAACATATAACAATAGGTAACCTGTGTGACTCAGATGACTAAAAATTGCACATATAAACCATAATTAGACTCATTAAAATTAAATGAGATGTCCTTGTGGTACCCTTGTGGTTCCTTGTGGTTAAAAGACATACCTGATGATTAATATTCGTAAATAAAGTAGATTGTGGAACTCGCTGATATTTTCTCGCACATGAATAAAAGTTTGGTGTACAGTAAAGTTTGATCTATGTATGCAAAAACTTTATAGAGATGTTTCAACTCCTATCTATCAGTAATGTTATATATTTAATACATTGGTTTGTAGGAGAGGATAGCCGACCTTCAGAGTTATGTGGAGGCCCTCAAACAGGAAAACTCACAGCTGGAAGGCAACACAGCTAGAACTTTTGACTCCTCAGGCTCCAGTGGGACCAGAAGGGCCGGTACCGGTAATTAGACTCTCCAATTTCATTGAATTTAACAAGAAAAAATAACACAAAAATTATAGATATGAATACTGCAGATAAATATCAAAGAAAAAGAATTACTGTAAAATTTTTCATGACAATGAGAACTTCAGTGTAGATATAAATATTGCATGCAAATATAAGTAGGGAAAAACATTTAGTGTACAATACTTCATCACATTTATTGGTAAACAGATTGGTGATAGTGGGAAAAGTGTGAGAGAATTAGAGAAGACGATAGCCCTCCTAAAAAAGGTTGTGGAGCGTGTGCAGTTGGAGAATGAAGAATGAAAGAAAGCCCCTCACATCGCAATCAAAACTTTATAAAATTCATGCCATAATTTGATTGGCTCACTTTTCAAGAGATATATTTTTCTGTTCTGTATCTTGTCTAAATTAAGAATTTCAAGCTGATATACTTTTGAAATGAGGAAACAGTGTAAAGTTTTTGTAATGGGAAAGTTGGTTTGAAAACATACATGTATGAACTATTCTTTTATGTATGTCTTGAGTATAATTATTTAGAAAAAATTGTGTGTTTCAGGATATGGCCACATTTAAAATGGCTGCCCTTCAGAAAGCTATAGAGGATTCTGTACCAGCAGCAGACCTGGAATTGATGAACAAACGTTATCATGACTTGACAGAGAAATACAGAGACACATTAGAGAAAGGGAACACACTGGTGTCTAAAGCTGTAGCCCTGGTAGGATTAGAGGTGAGACAGGGCTTTAATAATCAAGGGGTAGGTGGGAAGAAAAAGGGGTACAGAAAGGAAGAACACCAGCATCACAGGATGATACTTTTTGCATGTAAGAAGCAAGTCAGAGATGGATTCAAAGATATGTAGGAGGAAGTATGGATCCAAAATGGGTCCACATTAATATAGAGAGAATAAAGGATGGTACAAATGAATTTATTATTAATGAAGAAAAAGAGGAAGATTTCAAAAGGTAAGACTGGGGGGGCAAACAGGATGGATGGGCAAGTATGTAAAGGTATTGGGAGCTGGAGGAGGGGTAGGGTAATTTGAGGTAAAGCAGTTGACAATGGGATTCATAGAGGCAAGAGAAGTGGAGATTCCCAGGGAATAGAATCAAGAATAAAAAAATAAGTTTCTAGACGTATTTATCAGACGTATTTATTTTTCAGAATGAGGTGAAGAGGTTGACAGAAGATAACGAGGTTTTGAAGAAGACACTTGGTCTTGAGAAAGAAAAACTTCATGCTTTGGAAGCAGCAGTGGAGGACCTACATAAGAAAGGTTTAGTTAAGGTCTTCCGTCTTCACGGAAGACCTTATAGTTATTGCTCTGTTTCTTATTATTAAGGTCTTCCGTCTTCACGGAAGACCTTATAGTGATTCTATTGTTTCTTATTATTATTATTATTCTTATTTTTTTGACTTTCTAATTTTGTGCACGCGATTTCTCAAAGACTACTGTCTGAAATTATATGAAATTTTCAGAACAAATGTGTTGTAACATGAATTTATTATATCCGAGAGATCTTTTGGAAATTCACTTCCGGTGCCAAGTTATGGACAATTTCCTGAAATTAAAATGACATTTTGTCCACGATATAACTTTAAAACGGTAAGAGATATCAAAGTGAAACTTTCAGGGATTATAGATCGTGATAGATACAAGCCAGGACGCGACCTTTTGTTCGTCGTCAATACTTCCTGTCGTTAGAATATGCAAATTGAAAAAAACGTATTTTCTAACTTTTTTGTTTTCCAATATTTTTCATTCATTTTTGGAATATTAATGGTGACTCTTCTATAGATGCTTACTATATTATTTGTTTGAACATTGATTAATCTGAACTCTAGATATTAATATTTGAAAATCTGAAGCGGGCCCAAGATGGCGGCTGTCTCTGTCAAGTCCGCCATTTCGCGAGTAGGGGCTTATGGAGTCAGTTG